TGTTCTTTATTGTTTTTGTATTTACTGTCATATAGTAAGTCAGATACGGTGTCATAACATTGAACGTGACATTGAGTATCTGCAGCCAGAATTTCACACTATAACAATAACAAGATGTCTACAAGATGTTATTCAAATCACTAATCATATACATCTTGGCAGAATTACGAAAAAGCAAGGATTTGTTGCTCATATCTTGCTTAATGAAGAATTCCATAATATGTCATTCAAATCATCAATCATATACATCTTGACAGAATTATGAAGAAGCAAGGAGTTATTGGTCATAACTTGCTCAACAATGAAGATGAATACAAGAAGACTACAAGATACTTCACTTAATTTAGATTATATTCATCTTTGTAGAAATATGTAAAACACAAGAGTTGTTGCTCAGATTGTGTTATTGCTTAAGATCTTCATGTAAATTATTTGTATACAAGAGTTGTTACTCAGAACCGTGTCAAACAATATGTACTTAAATTAGGAGTAATTAGCTTGATAAGAAGTACTCATGTAATCTCCAGAAAAACAATTTTGTTTAGAATTGGTTGGTTCCTCAAGTGATCGAGTGAAGAGCAGAAGACTTGAGAAGACTTTGGTTGAGGTCATCATAGATCAAATCCTGGTAGTGGATTCTATTGGGTCAGTGGTAGTCATATCTCAAAGGGGGTTGAGTGAAGGTCAACTTTGTGAGATCGCTGATGGATATCATTGAAAGGGGATCTTGGTTGGAGATTCTGGTGAATTGGATTCTATTGGTTTAATGAACGTTATATCTAGTCTGCATCCATGAACGCGTCATTGGATGTTATTCACTGGCGGTTACCCGTGTGATTGTAATAACATTGGTTATAGTGGATTATGTCATTTAGTTCAAGGAGAAATCACCTTAGAAGGATGGACTGGACTAGCTTAGGGGTTTCTCAAGTGAACCAAGATACATTGTGTGTTCTTTACTTTTTCTTATGCTTTTGAGTTAATATTTTCTTAACTTAATTAGAAGTATTACTTAGAAGTAACACTCAGAAGCATTGCTCAACAAATAAATGCTTAGAAGTGAAATTTATTCAAGAAAGGAAAACCCAATTCACCCCCCCCCCTTTCTTGTGTTTTCTTCACACCTTCAGATTTTGCACATCCTGAGCAACATCCTGCAAAGCAGCAGCAATCACAACATCGTTCCTTCCAACCATTTGTCTATTTCACACTGATAACGGCAACAATGGTTAGAAACTATTTCGACAATATTCAACTGTTACACACTACAGACTCAACAACCTGGCCGGACAGACCGACCTACTCTGATACCACTAATGTAACACCCTTCTAAAACCCCAATGCTAATTAACAAATAAATTAATAAATATGTCAACACAAAGCACCAACAAGGGTGTCACGTCGTCATAAAAATATCTTATACAAACATCCTGCTCCGTAACACGGGTTTTTAAAAAATTATAACAATTATTTCTTGAATAATATCAACATATAAATTTAGACTTGGCATCAGAATAAATTCAACAAATAACGAAACTCATGGGATGCGTTTTTAAACAAACAACAAACTTCAAAACTAAAGCCTTCCCAACCCCTGATGTTACATATCAGTGTAAGACCATTTTTATTCAACGGAAAACACACTAAATAACTCCAAAGCTATCCCACTCTTCTACGAGTAATTCGTGATCACCTGCGTGTTACCCACATGGAGACAACATTCAAACAGAAAAGTTGAGTATTTACAAATCATAATAAAAAATATATGGAATAGATATAGTAGTTACAACTAATATATATATATATATATATATATATATATATATATATATATATATATATATATATATATATATATATATACTCACATTTTCACATCATTAATTCATTCACAATATCATTATATCCTCAATTCAACAATCATCATCAAAGCGTCACGTAAGTCACAACATCATCAAGACATCACTTAATCAATAATCATATAACAATATAGAGTATGCAATGCAACAACATTGACTCATGCATGTGGTACCAAACTTCACTGATGAACAATGAGTCATCTCCCTCTAAAGATTCCCACTATATGATTGATTCCCTCTTAGAACTGGAGCACATCATAATAACACACTCAATCTATACAATGGGATTAAGGCCTTCACTAGACAAAAGTCCTAACAACACGGGTGCACCAACATCCTAACATATGCCATGAATGCATGATGCACATCACATTAATAATTTGACCACGACTAGTCAGTTGCATCATCATCCATGTAATCATCATATAAACATTCTTCACATAGCATGTATGTACATCAAACATGCTTATTATCAACTTCATTCAACATATCATATATCCGTCCTCACATAGCATGTATACATATATTTATCATGCACGTCATCAAACATTCATGTTTCATCAACACATATTCATATAAATTCATCATATTATAATCATGTAAAAATACATCATGTTACTCATTTTATTCCATACTAAACAACAACAAAACAAAAATTTGCAACAGTCAACTCATCTGAGGCTCGCCCGACGAAGCAGTCTGCTTAAAAGAGGCTCTCCCGGCGACTGGTCCTTGCTTTGCGCTCGCCCGAGGAGGCAAAGGAACTTCACTTATTTTCCAGAAGCATGCAATTTTTCAAGTTTCTTCGCCCGACGCTGCTAAGGAAAAATTGCTTTGCCTGACGATGCAAGAAGCTCGTTTGACGGCGGCTTCGTGACAATAACTTCTCGTTGCGGTTCCTGCATCAGTCCAGACTTATTTTCATGCAATTTTCATACCAGTACAGTCCCAAATTTACCAAAATTTATCATATTATCATACAACAACAACACATTTCCATTCATATCATGGGTATCAAAATAATGGAAATTACACATCAACATCATCATATTTATCATGTTATCATCAATCAACATAAACCACAAAACACACTCCTACACATACCTAAATCCCATATCAATGACAATAATAAGGATCATTCCCCTTACTTGGTAATTCCTAGCATATGATTTTTCTCTTTGCGTTCTCTAATAAAATCCTCTGGGTTCCTCAATGCCCTAACTCTTTCTCCATAACTTATTTCCCAAAACTGGATCGTACAAAATGAATGCACAAACTTACCTTTTGTCACTCTTACCTCTAGAACCCTTATTATGATATTCTCATCTTGTCCTCACTAATCCTCATAATATTACCACCTTGCCCCTAATATCTCTACACATATTATCCTATTTAATTTTAATAGAATAATTCTAAATAATTATTATTGAATCCAATTAATCTCAACTAAATCATTTAAATTCTAAATAGTTATAAACTAATTATTAAAACTAATAATTCTCACCATCACCTTAATCCAACACTACCCCACAATATAGTATTACCAATACACCACAATACATCATATAAATCACAATAATTCACAAATACTCACAAATAACTACTTAAATAATTAACTTTTTTTTTGGTGTTACACTTGAGGATTCCAACATCTTACTCCATTCTCGAAGTTGTTGGAACAGTTGTTGAAACCGCCTCTTCCTTCTCTTTCATGTCCTTATCCACGTCCACGTTCTTGACCATGACCTCGTTCTCTTTGGGTCTTGTAATATTCATAGTTGACTTCCTTTATGTTGAGTTGGAGTAGTTTCTCCATAGTCTCCTTTTGTTTCTTTTTCATCTTTTGTTTTCTTTGTATGCTTGTAAGAAACCCATGGGTTGCTCATTAGTCATGGTATTTAAATTCTTGTTTTCTTCAATATTGGTAACAATGAAGTCAAAACTTTGAGTCAAAGTACAAAGTATTTTCTCCATGACTTTCATCTCATCAACATCTTCACAATTTGTTTTTAGTTGATTGAGTACGACCAATACTCGAGAAAATTAATCAGAAATTGACTCGGACTCCTCCATAAACAAACGTTCAAAGTCACCTCTAAGATTTTAAAGACATGTCTTTTTAACCCGCTCCACTCCTTTGTTACAATTTTAAAGCTTGTCATGTGCTTCCTTGGGCGTATTTGCGTTGGATATCTTCTTACATGTATCTTCATCCACCGTTGATAAATGAGGAAGAGAACTTTCTTGTCTCTCTTTCTTGACTCCTTAAACGTCTCCTTTACACACTGGCTTAGCGAGACTTCATCTTGTTCCTTGAAGCCTTTCTCAATGATATCCCACACATCACGAGCTTTTAATAGCGCCTTTCTCTTGATACATCAATTGTCATAGTTATTCTTTGTGAGCATCGACATTTGAAAAGAGAAATCTCCGTTCGCCATCTTATGAGGACCTTGTGGCTCTGGTACCACTTTGTTGTAAATAAGTATTTTTGAGTTTAAGAAAAGTGATTAGGAATATTAGAGGCTTGAATAGAAATTTGATAGGTAGGAGAACTCTTTATGAAAGAGAATCTCATATTTTTGTTTGATACAAAAGTATAGAATTATATTCTTATTTATAGTTCTTTACGAAAGACTCTAAACACACTAATTCCAAAGAATTATAAACTCTAAAAATCTCAAAAATATTCTAAAAAATATTACAACCATTAAAAATATAAAAACACATCAAACATTACAAAAATTTTCTAAAAACATTACCTAAAATTACCTAAGCCCAAAATATCTAAGATCTAAAAAATTAAAATAGAAATAACAAAGATAGGTCAAAACCAAATTTAATATTCCAATAAATAGTCTTAAGTTTTTTTACCCAAACATAGAAAAACGTTAAAAAAAAAGTTAATTATTATATCAAAATGAGGACTCATTATGTGACATGCAAATAAATACCTTATTCAATCAAACTCTAAGATACTGAATTGTTCACCATAAAAAATATCAAATAACTGATTATGTATCCAATTAAAAGGATAAACTCGAGAAACAACATCCTGGTAGATGATGATTAATGATATTTTATTTTAGTAACAAGACACATACTGCCGGACATGAGATAGTACACGACTTAGTGATGCTACTATATCCTCATGGCATCTAGGCAAGACTTGCCATCAAGTTTACTGGCAAACATATTCTTTAAGTGTTCTTCTAATCCAATTCTTTTGAAGCGTGCTGGTGTTTCTTCGGTGACGAAGCTTGTTGCAGGACCTATCTCTCCATTGTATTTTGTTGTACAGAATGTTGCAATTGACAGCCTTTCTTTTGCAGTGTTTACCGTTGCTCGATGTTCAATACTTTGGTATATCCCATTAGTTATAATCTATCAACAAAAATATGTAATTAAAAGGAAAAATAAGAAGTGTTAAAATTGGAATGTAGCTGAACATAGTTTAATTGAGTTCAGAGAAACTTAACTTGATAATAATTAATTTAGTGTATATTTAGATTAGAGTTTTTCATAAAAAAAATTTCACATCAGCTCAAAACTCTCTCATTTGTAACTCACAAATTGCTTGAATCAAATAAAATAAATCAAAAAACAAAAAGAAAATTTAAAAGAATCACGTGTTCTTTTGAACTTTTAACTTATAAAAATATTTATCTTTCTCATTTTTATCATTAATATATATATATATATATATATATATATATATATATATATATATATATATATATATATATATATATATATATATATATATATATATATATATATATATATATATATATATATATATATATATATATATATATATATATATATATTTCTACTTTTAAGCAATAAGAGATTTAACCACTCACATTTAAATTTTTAGATTTTTTTTTTCAAGCATAAGTAATCCATATCACGTGATTTGATCCACAAAAGATTTCATTGTCGCTCTCCCAGTGAGTCGAACTATGATTCGAATACTATTTGTTTGGGAGTCACTGGAGCATCGGAAACAACAATAGCTAAAATGTGTAGGACTCTAAGATACTTTGACACCACATATTAAAATATTCAAGCATTATGTATATAAGTCACCTCTTTTATATTTTCAATGTTTATTCCTTTTATACTAGTTGTTAAACTTAATCACTCATACTTGAATTTTAACAATTTTACCTTCCATTGTGAGTCATATACTTTACTAGACATGATTCACACTAGAATCTCACTTTCATTCTCCCAATTAGCTTAACAATGACCCTAATATCACTTGTTGGAGATTCTAGAGAGAATTGGGAGAAATAATGAGGCAAAATATCTATAATCTTAAGATACAATTTCACCACATCTTAACCAAAATCTTTAAGTTAGTATATATATATATATATATATATATATATATATATATATATATATATATATATATATATATATATATATATATATATATATATATATATATATATATATATATATATATATATATATATATATATATATATATATATATATTTGAGTCATCTTTATTATGTATATCAAACACTACCTCCATTTATAATTGTCATGGCACTTAAATATCAATACATTCATAAATATTCATAAAAATCTAAAATCTTCTCCATCACTCTAATTTTTTCACATGAAATCAAGAGGTAAGTTCTAATAAATTACCTCTATATAAACCAAAAGCACTTGGATGAGTTTAAATTACCTAAGAATGCAATGGTGTTAAATCCCTTAAGATAGAATTTTATCGCTCATTGTGATTCTCTTCAACTTAAAGAATATCTAATTCATACCTTCGACAATATAAGGGAAAACACAAACTCTTCCAGCAAATACTTAAGACAAATAAAAACATCAAGAAGCCTCTAAAAGAGGAACACCACTGCCAAAAAATAGGACTTCAATCCTATAACAACGAGTATCAATGTACCCACAAATTGAAGTTTACCCTCAACTATGAAGGGTTAAAAAATTACATAGGTCTTAATAAGAAATCATTTCCAAAACCAAGAAATCATTATGTCCAATAATCCTTATTTGGTAGATACCAACCCTTGAAAGAAGTCAACCAATTATGAGTCATGGTCCCTAATAAATAACTTCTTCCTCCACCCAAGACGAAACCTCGTTCAAATACACTCCAAATCGTATAATATCCCCATTAAGCTGAGTTGATAGTTGATAAAGCCTAAAAAAGAAATCTTATATAAATAGTTGACCATACCAAGGGTATAATACCAAAATAAGGTGAAAAGTTCATTTTCCACCTTCTTAGTGAGGCTCTAAGCGAACTAATCTAAGGAAGCTTGGGTCTAGAACAAAGGAGAGAGATTCCTTTCAACCAAGTTAAATGATATTTCTTGTAGGTAATTAATTGTGTAATTATGAAGTTGGTCAGACGCGAGCATTTTTGGGAAGTGATGTTTCTCATGGTCTATCTCCTTGGTGGGGAATAGTACATGCAAACAGTCTTACGCTTAAGTAAACTTTGTATCGAAGGCAGGAGGTAATTTATTTAAAAATGTGTGTGGTTTAACATTTTAATACTTCTTTTATATGAGGTTTCCATGGTTTCTTAGGGTATAAAACATTAAAACATAGGATCATTGTCCAAATAAACAAGTGTTAAAGTATAATTCATTGTGCGCTTTGATGGTCCTCCTTAAATCATTTTCTCATATAAGGTATTATCTTAAGACATGTCTATGTTTGTTCATCAGGTCCTAGAGACTTCCATGTGTCTATATATAAGGTTTTGCCATTTAATGTCATAGTGGTGTGTTTGAATTGTCTTTTGGCTATATATTTTTTGTTTTTAATCCATGCATTATTGGAATGCAAATGTTATTAGGCAATGAGTTCTATCTCGATCAATGAGGGATTACTGACGAAGAACTAAGCCCAACCGACTTTTCACCAGTTATTGACCTGACCAATTAAACCCCATATCTTCAAAAGGATGTCAAACTAGATGCCTTCACCTTGCAATAACCTCCATCTACACTTCTTAGAAGCTATAAATTATGTAGAAGTAAATCACTGGCCCCATAGGCATTCATCCTTCTTAGACACTATTCTCGCTAAACACCAAATATGAGATTTCCCTGCTGCTCGGAGGATGACAATGAGAACCTTAAAAGAATGAGAGTATGTTGTTTATAATATTGATAGATTCGGAGGCTTGCACGAGTATGTGTAAGCTCCAAGCGATGTGTCTTGCTTACCCCTCAGTCAAACTATTTATAAAGGTGTGTGAGCCTCATTGATTACCGCATGTAACTGATATGGATTTTCATGTTACGTAATTGAGTTGTCTTAAAGGCAAGTAACATCCGATGTTGCTAATGATGGCTATTATCATAACGTGTGCCGTCGTATAATGATGAGCGGTGCCCTAAATGGACCGGTCATTGCGTAAAGGCTCCATTAAGGTCAAGCTTAGGGTAACCTTTAGATCCAGGATATGAGTTGGTTTCTTCCTCTTCATCTACTTCCATGTCCGATTACATGACCCTCTGAACACACAACCTGGTTTAGGCCTTATGATCTCGACCTGGGGTGGTAACCGACTGATTGTCTTCTTGCCTTTCTCGGCCTTTCAACTATGACTTACCTTTTATTTCTTCTAGCCTAGGCAATAGATCTATGTATGAACATAAGCCCTACGAGCATATGGCTTTTACCTAAAGCCTTATGGTCAGTCAACGAGAAATAGATCTATACTCCATCTTGGGCCTCTAAGATCGAACAATGATACCTCGGCGTGCATGTTACTCATGCTCTAGTTTCTCAATAGTTCCCTAGTCCCTTAGGCGTAATCATTTCTAAGGCAAATTTTGAATTATTGTACACGCTTACTCTTATTTAAGGGTTTTATTTTCCATAAATTTCTTTTATAAAAACATTTACTTTCCTGCTTCTGAAAGACTCTCCTACTTCCATTTGCCAATGCTCTCATCCATTTCTTCTAAACATCTCTCAATCGACCAGTGTTACCAGGTATTTTTTTCTCTTCTTTTACCTTATTTTTTGTACAGTTTTATTTTTTGAGGGATGGTTATCATCAGAGAGTGTGATGATTTTGGAAATAAAAGACATAACAATAATGAGGAGCGGAGAGTCGTATGGGAGGAGTGCATGCAAGAGATGAGAGTTTCTTTAGGTGTAGATGAGTACGCACAGGTCATGAATAAAGTTTATAGTGAAGTTTTTACTTCTGAAAGTGATTATGACCCCCGATTCTTCAGGTTCCGTGGAGGTCCTGGTGGAAACTTCTGGCTCTTTTAGTGAAAAGGTGATGGGTTACGATTGAAACCCCATAGATGAGGTGGAGATAGCAAAGCTTCGCTCTCTATAAAAGGTGTCCTCGACTAGGAATGAGGATGATGTGGTCCTGGAGGCTTGTATCCCTGGCGAACGGGTCTGTATGTCCCAAACAAATGGAGTACGAGGCGAATGGTTTTATTTCTATGTTGGGGTGTTGAAAGATATGTTTATCTGCATCCCTTTCACTGATTTTGAAGTGGATGTTTTGAAGACGGTGAATGTAGCCCCTCTCAACTTTGCTTTAACAGTTGTGGTTTTATCAAAGTTTTTGAGATGATCAGTGAAGCGTTGGATGTGACTACGACTATTGGTTTGTTTTTTTCTCATTTTGAAGTAAAGAATGTAAAATCCGAGATCTGGGTTGCCATTAGCAGCGTACCTTGCAAGATCTCCCTCAAGCCTTTATCATTAATTACAAGGGCTTCAAGGACCGGTTCCTTTAGGTTAGGTGCGGGCCTAGGTGTCCTCAGGTTGTTTATGCCACTGATGGTCATCCCTAGCTCCCTTTGTACTGGACGGGGAGTCCTTTTCCCATATATGGGTTCGATTATGATAAGTTGAGTGATGTTGAAACTCAATCTCTGCAAGTGTTAGACTCCTTTCGTGCGTTCAAGGTCAAAGACTTGTTACCCTTGCCTGATAAAGAGGTTCCTACCTTTATGGGTAAGGCTCACTTTAATTCTCCGCCGCCTAAGGGCTTTTTTACTCCTTTCTTACATAATCTTTTTTATTTTTTTTTTGTAGATAAAATGATTGATCTCTCTGTTAAATAGCAAAATAAGTTGATGGTTGCTGCTTGTGCCACCCGGAGAGGGGCTGGAGGGCCTTCTGAGTCCAAATCCGACTTGATTGGTTTAGAACATTGAGTAGTGAAGAAGAAGAAAGGACCCGGCCAGAAGGAGGACGTTGTCATCAGCGTGCCTCAATCACCGGCCAGGCATGCCCTAGAAATTGAAGAGCCCTCTTAGATATCTCCAAAGTGAATGAAGACCATAATGACGGATCAGGTCTATCGGGTTGATTGGGAAGTCTCAGATCTAATGCAAGAGACTGGTAGGGTCGGCTCCGGTCTCCAATGAGAATAAGTTTTGGTCAAACAACTTTGGTGGGATGAAGTTCCTTTATGACCAACTCAATACCACTGAGAATGTCAACATGGTGAAGGGCCTTGGTCCTCAGAAGCTCACCCAGAACCTGAGTTCTTACCTGATGAGGTGTGATGTGTTGGCCCGAGGTTTGTTTGAGTACAGGGACAACTTGGAGGAGAGGTGTAAAAACCTTAAGAAGGACATATAACAGCTGAAAGAGAGCGAGACGTCTTATGTTGATAAATGTTCAACTTTGGAGAAGAAGTTTCTTGAAGAAAGTTCAAAGAACAAGTCTCTAACCAAGGAAAATGAGGATCTTAAGGCCTCAAATGCTAAGCTTACTGATGGTTTAATGTTGCAGAGAGGTCCTGTGCTAACCTACAAAAGTCTTTAGAGAAGTCTCAGATGGATTTCCTTGACGTCGGGGATATGGCTTTCGACTAGACTAAGGATCGGGTGTTGTGCCTCTATCCAGAGTTGGATATCTCCTCAGTGGACTTTTTTAAGAGCATTGTGGATAGTAAGCTGGTGGACATGAAAGCTGATGAAGACGTTGATGAATCCCCAACCACAAGTAAGTCGGGTACCAACGATGCTTCCCTGGACGATGTGACCAAGTGATTCCTTATTTTTCTTGAATACTTGATTGTCAGTCACCCTTTTTTGGTGGGTGCACTTTTGTAATAGCTTTTGAATTCCTATTTTGACAATTTCCCTATGGGCCTTTATCATTAATTGTACTTTTACTTTTGTTCTGCAATTTTCGTTTATGTTGGTTTTCACTTGTATGTATTTTGTACGCCCACATGTGAGAGGGTTATGGATGTATGGTAGCCCCCCGGTCACGGGGTTTTGGAAAAAACCATACTTATTAGTTTCGAAGGAAAGGCCTTAATCCTCTCAGACATGCCTGATGCTGCTTTGCAACAGATTGACCGTTCTCATGGGAATGATTTCATCTCGGCCTTAATCTTCGTAGGATTTGTAAAACTGTTTGAGAGATAAGAGTGTTTATTTAAGCATTTGTTCTGCTTGTATTTTTAAGTCGTCGCCCAGAATTTCTTTGTTTTGAATAATCGTATAGGCTTGTGGAGGCCGGGAGGCGTCTTTATGTGCTTAACACTTTTGGGTGTCGGACCCTGTACTTATGAAAGCCAAGATGTATGGCCTATAAGGTTATGCATAGTTGGCTCAGGAGGATCCCACTTTAGGTGGTTCCAGTTTAGTCCAAGGTGTGATGTTCGGGGAGGTTACACATGAGGTGGTTGAAGATGTGTGTCGAGGTGTAGAACCTTTGAAGGCGCGAAATCCGATTTAAGGTTCGTCGCCAAGAAGGTTACATCTAAGGTGGCTCAATATTTGAATCAAGGTGTAAAACCTTTGAAGGGTTGGAATTTGATTTAAGGTTCATCTCTGAGAAGGTTACACTTGAGACAGCTCAAGATATGAACCGAGGTGTAGAACCTTTGAAGGGGCGGAATCCGATTTAAGGTCCATCGCCGAGATGGTTACACTGAGGTGGCTTAAGATATGAACCAAGGTGTAGAACCTTTGAAGGGGAGGAATCCGATTTAAGGTTTGTCGGCGAGAAGGTTACACTCGAGGCAGATCAAGATATGAACAGAGGTGTAGAACCTTTGAAGGGGAGGAATCCGATTTAAGGTTCATCGTCGAGAAGGTTACACCAGAGGCGGCTCAAGATATGAACCAAGGTGTAGAATCTTTGAAGGGGCAGAATCCGATATAAGGTTCATCACCGAGAAGGTTACACTTGAGGCGGATCAAGATATGAACCAAGGTGTAGAACCTTTGAAGAGGCGGAATCCGATTTAAGGTTCATCGCCGAGAAGGTTACACCTGAGGTGGCTCAAGATATGAACCAATTTGTAGAACCTTTGAAGGGGCCGAATCTGATTTAAGGTTCATCGCTGAGAAGGTTACACCTGAGGCGGTTCAAGATATAAACTGAGGTGTGGAACCCGGAAAGGTTATACCTGAGGAGGTTTAAGTTTGAACCAAGGTATAGAGCCTTTCTAAGTGAGTATTTTGACAAAATGATGCTTTTATAGGTTGCCTCGTTAAAAACCATGGCCTTTTCCAGGGAGAAAAGTGCACCTGTTTTTTATTTATTACATGAGCTTACATGACTTTAGCTGAAATAAATCCTAAGACTAGATACATGCCATGTCCTAGGAATTTATATGTTGTCTAATGTCTATATCTTGTAAGCTTTGTTGCTAAGTTTCTCAACAACCCGGAAAGGTCCCTTCTAGTTTGGTGAAAGTTTCTCATTCTTTGTTGGATCTGTGATTCTCTTTAGAACCATATCCCATTTGAATAAGCCTTTTTATTTCACCTTCATGTTGATCTCTGGGCTATCCTTTGTTTGGATGCAATCTCTTGGACATGTGTCGTGTTTATGATTTCATCAAGCAGGTCGGCTTCACTTGATAGATGCTCATTATTTATACTATCTTCAAAGCTTACTCTTATCCATAACAGAGTGTTTATTTCTTTCGAGATCATGGTATTAGCCCCATATACCATTCTGAATGGAGTTTCTTTGGTCGTGGAGTGAACTATGGTGTGATAAGACCATAATATCTCGTAGAGATACTCGGCCCATAACCATTTTACTTCATCTAACTTCTTTTTCATATCGGTTAGGATAACCTTGTTAGCTGACTCCGCTTGTGCGTTCTCTTGAGGGTGTTCTACTGAAATGAAGTTGTTGATGATTCCGAGCTCTCTGTAGAATTTTGTTACAGATGAGCTTACAAACTGGGCTCCGTTATCTGAAATGATAACCCGGGGTAACCCAAATCTGTAAATGATATTCCTCAAGTAAAAAATGTCTCACCCTTTTAGCTGTGATCTGGACCATGGCTTCTGTCTCCACCCATTTGGTGAAATAATCAACCGCGACAAATAAGAATTTTAGTTGTCCTGGTGCCACCGGGAAGGGCCCAAGTATGTCCATTCCCCATTGATAAAAAGGCCATGGGGATACTACGGAATGGAGCAATATCGCCAGGGTATGGATGAATAGTGAGAATATCTGACATTTGCCACACCAGTTTATAAATCGGACAAAATCTTTAAGCATGGTAGGTCAATAGTACCTAGCCCTCAGTATTTTGTTGGATAAGGCCCAACCTTCGATGTGATTCCCACATATGCCTTTGTGCACCACTTTCATTACTAGGCTCACCTCGTCTTCTGAGAGTATTCCAGGACCAAATCGTCGGATCCTTCTAATACAATGTCAGTCCCAATGCCTCTCAAATTCGATGATCCATCCATGGCAGAACCCATTTTGAGGATGTTTCTTCGTTCATCAGAGTGCTCAGTTCTACCACGAAATCGACCAACACTTGAGACTTTATACTAGTGTGTATGGTGAACTCTATGTCATATTCTGAGAGCTCTACAGCCCATGCTACCATTCTTCCAGTTAAGTCCAGTTTCTTTGAGATTTTCTTTATGGGGAAATTTGTTTTCACCAGGATGGGGTGGGCCTGGAAGTAGTGCCTCAACTATCTTGTTGTTATGATTAATGCCAAATTTAATCGTTCGATATTTGAGTTTTGATCCTCGTAGTAATGTGTTGACAAAGTAAATCGGCTTCTCGTCTGACTCTCCGTCTTGGACTAGAACCGAGCTTATGGCTCTGTCTGACACTTCTAAGTATAGTACCAATGGTGCAATTTCTTTTGGTCGCACTAGTATTGGGGGAGCTGACAGGAATTGCTTGAATTCTTGGAAATCTTTTTCACAGTCGTTGGTCCACTCGAAATCAGCCCTCTTTTTAGTTGCTGCAAAGAAGTGAATTGATTTATCACCTATACAAGACAAAAAATGAGATAAGGCGGCCAAACGACTAGTTAGTTGTTAGACTTCGCAGATGGACGTCGGGCTTCTCATGTCAATGATTGCTTGGCGTTTTTCCGGGTTGGATTCTATTCCCCGACTCGTCAGCATGAACCCACTTAACTTTTCGGCTTGAACTCTAAATATGCATTTATTTGGATTCAAGCGCACGTTATCGCTTCGAACTGCTATGAAAGTTTCTTCCAGGTCCTGAACATGTTTCCGCTCTTTGTCGGTCTTTACTACCATGTCGTCTATATAAACCTCCATGTTTCGTCCAATTTGTGGAGTGAAGACTATGTCCATTAACCTCTGGTAAGTGGCCCAGGCGTTCTTCAAGCGAAACGACATAACCTCATAGTAATAGTTGCTTCGGTATATCATGAATGCTGTTTTTGATGTGTCCGTTGGGTTCATATGAATTTGATTATATCCAGAATAAGCATCCATGAAGCTTATCAGCCTGGACCCAGAAGCTCCGTCGATCAACTGGTCAATGTGAGGTAGTGGATATGGATCTTTTAGGAACACCTTATTAAGGTCGATGAAGTCTAGCATATTCTCCACTTCTCGGTTTTATTCTTAACCATTACCATGTTGGATAGCCAAGTGGGATATTAGATTTCTTTGATGAATCCAACCTTCATCAGTTTATCCACCTCTTTGATTATTGCTTTTCTATTTTCTTCACCACCTTTTCTCTTTCGTTGGGACACTGGTTTCACCCCGGGATCAGGCGCCAAGTGATGACACATGATGTTAGGGTCGATTCCTGGCATGTCAGACAGTTCTCAGACGAACAGGTCGATATTTATCTTCAAAATGTCAACAATCTCGGCCTCCTCCTCTGGTGATAGATTAGTACCCAAGTGAGATATTTCTGAAGATTTAAGGCCGACCTGAATTTCTTTAGTTTCTTCTTGAGGAGCCAGACTATCTTCTCTGGGATCTTCCCGGGGGTCAGTATCGATCATATTGACTTTGTTGTTGTCTGTTTCTTCTATAACTATAGCCCTCTTTTTCGGTTTTAGGCTATCTTTGTAGCACTTTATTGCCAGGCCTTGGTCTCCTTGTATTGTTCCTACCCGGCCCTCGCTGAGAGGGTACTTCATAGTAAGGTAGAGGGCCGATAGTTCTGTCTCCAGTTTGTTAAATGATGGCCTACCGATTATGATGTTGTAGGGAGACGATGTATTGACGATCAAGTACCTCACTCTAACTTCTTTAGCATTCTCTTTTATTCTGAATATGGTCAGAACCAGAAGGTGTCTGAGTACCTGCACTTACTCACCGAAGAATCCGACTAAGGTTCCATTAAAGGGAAACAACTCTTTCGGGTCAAAGTCCATGCCTTTGAAGGCTTCCCAGTACATCACATGGGTTAAGCTTCCGGGGTCGATTAGTATCTGTTTGATACTCTAATCTATGATCTGAACTTTAATGACTATGGGGTCATTCCCATGTGGTAAGATTCCTTTTGCATCTTCCCGGGAGAAGGTAACAGCCTCGGGATCTCCGCCTTTGTCTGTACATTCCACCTAAGCCACATGTATTATATTTTAGGAATACCTCTTTCATACCGAGCTATTGGAGCCTCCTCCTGCAAATTCTCCAGATATTGTATTAAGGGTGTGTCAGGTAAGTCTCGTTTCTCGGACTTCCTTTGTTGCGTTCCCTTTATTCCTTGAACGGAATTATGAGGTGTCGTTCCCCTTGAGAGGGCTTCGCTTTCTAGCTTGCTCGGCATCAGCTTTGACATAAGATAGAAGCTTTCCTATATGGATTAGCTTTTCAATTTCCTTTTTCAACTGTTAGTATTCCTCAGTGTGATTCCTCAGATTCAGTGATACGCACACCATGCCTCGGCGTCATCACCCAATATTGCATTTACTCCCTTGTGGTTCCACGGTCTGGGAAGTAAGTTGAGGTGATTTACATCCTTTCAGATGTCCTCTCTTCTGGCATTTAGAGGAGTGAGGTCTTCGTCCGAAACTAAAGTTCGTCGGGATGATCACTAGGGAGGCTGTTCCTAAGGTGGTGATTGATCACGAGACCTGCTCCGCTCCTTCCTCTGCCCGAAACTTTCTTCCCGGGTTCTTCCTTTTTCTCTAGTGTCTCTAGTTCTTTTTTCGATATTTCTTTCTTCTCCCTTTACGTAGCATTCGGCCTGAGTGAATATCTCATCCATGCTGGCAGCCGATTTTTGAGTTAGTGACTCGTTGAATTTGCCGGCCTGGAGACCGTGCTGGAAAGCTGCCACAAAGATCTCCTGATTGGGATGAGAGACCTTTATGGTTTCCTAGTTGAATTAGGCCATGTAATCCCTCGGGGATTCTGATGGGAGCTTATGGACATTAAGCAATGTTGTAGTCGACACCTTCCGATGTCGGCTCACCGAGAACGGTTGAACTATCTTTTTGGTGAAGTCTTGGTAACAAACAATAGAATATCTCGGGAGATTCATGTACCATCTCAGGGCCGATTCCTTGAAGGTGTCATCCATAAGCTTACACTTCAGTGAATTGTTAGCCCCAATTATTGCCATTATATTATTGACGATAATGATATGTTCATGGGGGTCAGACTTGCCATTGTAAGTTGCAAATGTCAGGGGTTTGAAGTTCTCTGGAACTTGATCATCCCAAATGGCTTGGGACAACGACTGAGGCTCCAAAATCTCGAGCCCCTGGTTAGCATCGTCCTAGCTCTCCATTTGCAGGACCTGGACGATGTCTTGTAGTGTATCGTTTTATTGGCGAAGATCATCTATCATGGCCGATAGTTGTGCCATGTCTGGAGGAGAGTCCCCCTCAGAAGACATCGTTCAAAGGTTGGTTAATGCGGCCTGGGATAGTTTTAATAGGCTCCACGGTGGGCAGCAAATGTTCTTGCTAAACACCAAATATGAGATTTCCCTGCTGCTCGGAGGATGATAAGGAGAACCTTAAATGAGTGAGAGGATGTTATTTATGATATTGAGGGATTCGGAGGCTTGCACGAGTATGCGTAAGCTCCAAGCGATGTGTCTTGCTTATCCCTCAGTCGGGAGCTCTATTTATAAAGGTGTTTGAGCCTCATTGATTACCACATATAATTGCTATGGCTTTCCATGTTACGTAACTGAGCTGTCTTAAGGGAAAGTAACGTATGTCGTCGCCAATGATGGCTATTATCATAACATGCACCGTCGTATAATGATGAGCGGTTACGCCCTCAATAGATCGACCATTGCATAATAACTCCATTAAGGTCGAGCTTAGTGTAACCCCAGGATCCAGGTATGAGTCAGGCTGCTGCCTCTTTATCTTCTTCCATGAACGATTACATGACCCTCTGATCACACAACCTGGTTTAGATCTTATGATATCGACCCGAGGTGATAATTGGCTGATTGTCTTCTTGTCTTTCTCGGCCTTTCAACCATACCTTATCTTTTATTTCTTTTAGCTCAGACAATAAATCTAAGTATGAAGAGACACACAAATAAGTTACTAAATGATCCAAGTAATCTTATGCCTTTTTAGGAAGGAACAAAAGAAAATGAGGATATAGTTAAGAACCGAGTTTAATAACACTACATGAGCATGGAATCTAAAATACTTCTTACCCCAGCACTCAAGCCATTTCAAGATAGAGTTAACCAATGGTGTCTAGGTAATTTCAAGACGGGAGCTAAAATCAATTTGGGACCTTAACTACATAAATGGAAAGTATTATTGGTTGTAATGAATGGGCTCTTTTTCCGTAACCAAAAATTTTGAATCAACATTAACCCCTAACAAATTACTCTTTGAAATATTCACCCGAAGCTCAGAAGCAAACTTAAACATCCAAATGATTGATTTAATAACACATAGATTATCAACAATTAACTCCCCCAAACTTCAAGTATCATCATTATGAGAAATCACAAGATCATAGATTGCCACCTTAAAACTATATATATAGAAAAATAATATTTTCTACATAACCTATAAATAAATAGAAAGGAGGGATATTTACCTCAAGAATGTCCCCAATATTGATAATGAAGGCATTTGGCAAGGGCTTAACTGGGATCCACTTACCATATTTTTTTACTTGAAGCCCTTCTACCTCATTGAGTTGTAAGAGAATTGTGAGTCCTGACCCATCTGAATGTGGTGCTATACCTATGACCTTTTCTGATTGAGGACACGGAGGATAATAGTTTATTCTCATCAATTGTATCCCATCTTCAAACATTATACTCATTTCTTTTTCATCAACTTTCAAAGCCTTTTCCATATATTCAACAATAATTATGGATAATTTTTGCATTTCAATGGAGTAATGTTCAAAAGTATCTCTGCAAGAAAAAAAAAGATAAAAATTACAACTTTTTCTATTATAAATATGTATATATTATTTAAGTTAAACTAAAAACTTCAAGATGTAATTATAGTCTATATATCAAAGATTTGTAAAATTTTATTATATTAAAACCACTCATCCCCTCTCTAATTCCAAAATACCACATGTTTCTCACATTTTTCAAAATACACCATTTTTAAAGAATTTTTTATACATGAGACTCCCCGTTGTTATGGCGATCCTATATAATTTTGAACTCATCCACTAATATAATTGGCTAACTTTTCCCCACTTTTTGTTCCTAGTTGTTATATTATATATATATATTATTATTCATTATTTTTTAAAAAGTCTAAATTATATTATAAAAAACAATTATAAAAATAGAGAATTAGATGTGACCCATGCAAGAGAAAAAAAATATAAGTACAAAAAAACAAAAGAAAAATAAAAATAAAAGTAAAATTAAACCAATTCACCAATCTCGTTCATAACTGTATGAACTATCAATTTCTAATTAAATTACTTTGAATGATCCACTTAAAGAGCTCCCATCTAGACATGCATCTTATATGATTGAAATTGTCAATCTAGACATGTACCTTATATGACTCAAATTGTTACTTCTAAATTATCTGTGAGACACTTTTAGTGAGAAGAGAATAGAAAGAATAAGAAAATAAAGATTTATATTATTGAATTGTATAAATAATTATATAGACTATAACTATTTATATACATATTTAATTGGGTTTGAGTCTACACAACTTAGATTATATTTAAATATTATATCTAATCAAATATAATTTAATCTAATATTTTAACAAAATCTAATTTAATATTTTAACACACCCACATAATCCAAGTTGTCGAACATCCTCAAAAATAGCCAATCTGAACTATTTCTAATTTCTTTCTAACATTCAGGAATTTGTCAATCTTTAATCCTTTGAGGAAGATGTCGGCCAATTCTGCTTCACCTGAGAAATGCCTAACTTCAAATTCACTTTGATTTACCTTTTCCCTTAGAAAGTGAAATCTAGCTTCGATATGCTTACTCCTTTCATGCAGAACTGGATTCTTCGTCAGATTTATGACTGACTTATTATCGATTTGCAACACTAGAGATTTCTTCACTTTGAAAGTCATTTCTTCAAGTAGTTATATGATCCAAATTGCTTGACAAGCAGCATAGGATCCTGTTATATATTCAGCTTCGCAAGATGACAATGCCACCACAAGTTGCTTTTTCGAACACCATGATATTGGGGCACCAAATACTTGAAAGAAATATTCAGTTGTGCTTCTTCGATCTTCTTTATCTCCACACCAATCAACATCTAAAAAAATAACTATTGCTTATTTTCCTTTAGAATCTCGTCGAAATAGTATTTCAAAATTTATTGAACCCTTCAAATATCTCAGGATTCTTCTTGACGCCTTCATATGTGACACTCTTGGTTCACTCATATATCTGATTACTAATCCGACTCTGAAACCTATATCTGATCGACTGTTGCACACATACCTCAAAGATCCCACAATTTTCTTAAACAAAGTTGCATCAACTTTGTCTTCCTCTCCATTCTTCTCCAACTTCACATTTGGTTCGACAGGTGAGGATGCAGGATTCGAATCATCCATTCTGAATCTCTTGAGTATCTCTTTGACATACTTCTTTTGATGTAACACCATTCTTTACTTTGACATTTGTAATTTCATACCTAGGAAATAAGACAATTTTTCCAGATCCGACATTTAAAATTCCTTCGTCATCAGCTCCTTGAACTTTGACAAGTTCTCCAAACTATTTTAAGTTACTAGAAAGTCATCGGCATATAAGCATATGATTGTTATATCTTGTGCTAAAACTTGAACATAGACACCATACGCTGATTTGCATTTGACAAATTCCAATTCGACTAAGTGTGAGTCGATCTTCTTGTTCCATGCCTTAGGTGCATGCTTGAGTCCATAGAGCGCTTTGTGCAATCTATATACTTTACTCGCTTCCTTCTGAATCACAAACCCAAGAGGTTGTGTGGCATAAACTTCTTCGTCTAAAGGACCATTCAGAAATACTGATTTCACATCTAGATAGAATTTTGACCAGCCTTGGTTGCATGTCAATGCTACCACTAGTCAAACTGTCTCCAATCTTGATACTAGAGCAAATACTTCAGAGTAGTCGAGTCTTACTCTTTGAAGAAAACCTAAAGCTACTAATCTTTCTTTATGTTTTATTTTCAACCCATCTGCATTATGATTCAACTTGAACACCCACTTTACTTGGATAGCTTTTGTATATGCTGGAAATTTGACTAACTCCGATGTGTTATTTCTTTTAATTGTTTGTAACTCTTCGACCATAGCTAACTTCCACTTTTTAATCTTCAAAGCTTAGCTATAGTTGATTGGTTCAGCACCTGCAAGTAAAGCAAAATGAACTAATTATCCATCTGGTGTTACCTCATCATCACCAGTCACTTCATAATCCTGAAGTCTTGTTGGAAGAACTCTAGTTCGTTGAGGTCTATGACTTGTGCTAGCCACACCCTCTTCGACTTCGACATTGTTTGGAATGTTTGTAACTGCTTCGTCTTTGATTGGAATATTAGCAATTTCTTCGACTTCGACTTCATCAGTTTCTTAGTCAAAACCATAGCTCATCAATGGCTTGTTAATTGCATCATTAGAATTCCAATCCCAAGCAAAAAAAATTTCAATCACAATATCTATACTCAACACAACTTTCTCATTAATTGGATTGAATAGCCTGTATGCACCAGTTTTATGATATCCTACCAGAATCATAGGTTCACTTTTGTCATCAAGCTTCCTTCTTCTCGCATCAGGAATATGCTTGTAACACAGAGCCTAACACCTTCAAATGACTTACTGATGGTCATTTTCCACTCCATACTTCTTCAGAAACCTTGTTCTTCAATATCTTAGTAGGACACTTATTCACAATATAAACTGCAGTCGAAACATCTTTTCCCCATAAAGACTTTGGAAAATTCTTTTGCTTTAGCATGCATCTCGCAATATCTAATATGGTTTTGTTTCTTCTTTTTGAAAATCCATTATGTTGAGGTGTATAAGGATCAGTTACCTCATGATCAACACCATATTCTGCACAGAAATCTTCAAACATCTTGGATGTGTATTCGCCACCTCCATATGTTCGCAGAACTTTGATCTTCTTCTCACTCTGGTTTTCAGCAAGTATCTTGAATCTCTTAAAGATTTTGAATACTTCGTACTTTCATTTGATCGCATAGATCCACAGCTTTCGATTGGACACATCGACAAACGAAATAAATTATCTGTTTCCACCAATGGTATGTTCTTCAAATGGACTACATACATCTGAATGCACCACTTCGAGAATGCATGATGATCTCATTGGCATAGTTGAAACGAAAGAATTTTTGATTGCTTTCCTACTAAACAACCTTCACAAAGTTTTTCAGGCATCTCAAGACTTGGAACTGTTGTAACCATATCTTGAATAATCAGTTAATTAAGTGACCGAAAATTTAAATGCCACAACCAACTATCCTTGTGGTCAACAACAGTTTTCAAACATTGAAATTCTGTCGAACTGATCATAGTCTTAAATGTCTTGTTCTTCGATAACAGATATTTTAAGACCAAATTGTTCTTGGTGTCGAACAATTTCAAAGCTCCATCTTTTATACCAACTGAGAAACCTTTTTCGACCAGCTTTCCAACACTTAGCAAGTTACACTTCATTCCAGGCACATAGAGCACATCTTTAATCATAGTTTTTCCTCCATTACTCATTTGAAAAATTATGTTGACAGTACCTTCTACTTGCAACGAACTATTATCAGCAAGTTTTACCTTGCTCTTCTTTGACTCGTCGTAGTCTGCCAACCACACCTTTCGACCAGTCATGTGATTCGAGCATCCTGAGTTGAGGAACCAGATCTTGGATTCGATATGGTTATCTACAACTGCAGCCATAACCACCATACCTCCTTCAAAATAATCTGAATCTTGGCGTGCAAGTTTTTCTCCTTCGTCCTTGCTTTTTCTCAATCCATTTTCTTTCCTGTACCAACAATGTTTAGCCAAGTGTCCCCACTTTTCACAGTTATAACACTACATATATTTCTTATCTTTTTTGTCCTTTCGATAGTTTCCTCCTCCTCTTTTCGAGGATTCAGAAGATCTATCTTCGACTTTATTCTTGTGGGGATTCAACCAAGACTTCTTGCCCTGGGTCTTGTCGAACTTGCCTTTGAATTTGTTGGAACCACCATCCTTTTTCCATGACTGAACTTGCAGATCCTGTATCGATTCTTGCACTCTTTTCCTTTCGATAATCCTCATCTCATGTGCCTCCAACAGACCAACCAAATATTCCACTTTAGTGGTTTCAAGATTGTTGGATTCTTGAATAGCTACGATAACGTGATCAAATCTAGAGGTCAGCATTCTCATTACCTTCTCAATTATCATCTTATCAGTTATGGTTTCACCACAACCCTTCATGAGATGCACGAGTTTCTGAACCTTCGACACATATTCTGCAACTTTTTCATCTTCTTCCATCGACAACAAATCATATTATCGATGCAAGGTTTGTAACTTGACAACCTTGACTTTCTCACCTCCTTTGTAATACTTCATGCCTCATTCTCCATTTCAGCATGAGAGATTTTGTCGAAATTAGCGGTATCAACATCCGTTTAAATGCAATAAGAAGCCTTGCAATCTTTATTCTTGACTTTATTATGGGATTTTTTTTGTGCTTTAGTTGGATTTGCAGCCAATGCAGGAACATCATCGGTAACCACCTCCAGGGTTTCATGAAAGCCAAACAAGGATTGCAACTATTTTTTCCATCAGATCCAATTTTTGTCGTCAAGCATTGGAAGAGAATTCGGAATGCCCTTATCACTAGCCATCTTCGCAGCGGTTGATTCACTTGCCTTAGAAACACGATCTCTGACGTGAAATTCT